GAAAAAATTACGGAATTTTTGAGGTTGTGAGCTCTAATAAATTTGAGTGATTCCAAAATGGCCGCACATTCACCCGTGAAGACTGATGCCTCCGGGGGACACTTGGAGAGGAGAGCGATCCTCGAATTTTGGAAGTACGCTGCCACTCCTGTACATCCGATTCGGGATAATTTAGACGCGTCTGTGTAGAAGGTATTCCAGCCTCTCCAGTATTTGTCCAAGGCACGTTTGAACTCGTCTGCAGCATTCACGGTGGATTTCGAAATGCCAAGTCCTAAAATCAGCTTTGGTCTAAAGTGGATAACCTCATATACGGAAGAAAACACTGGGAGCACAGGATATTGACTTATGGGTGCAGAGAGGTTTTTAAGCTCCCTGTACCTAGCAATCACGGGAGGGACAGGTTTATTTTTCCAGTAAGAAGAGGAGCTGTAGGAACAGTGGATTTGATCTAGGATAGGGAGAAGGGGATGTGATGAGAGGGAGAGGACTTTTGAGATGAAGCGGTCTGCAAGGTATTGTCTTCGCAGGTTGAGAGGAGGCTCCGCACATTCAACCTGAAGAGCGTTTATGGGGGATGATTTCATAGCTCCAATAATTATTCTAAGGCATTTGGTCTGAATGGAGTCTAGTTTTTTTAATGCTTCCTTATTGCAAGGTACAATAAGGAAGCAACAATAGTCCATTACACTTCTGACCAATGCATTGTATATGAGCTTCAATGAAGAGGGGTGAGCACCCCACCATACCCCAGCCAGAGCTCTGAGTATCGATACTGAGCGTTCACACCTACCAACTACGGTGTTTATGTGGTCCACCCCAGACATCTTTGAGTCGAGATGGACTCCCAAAAATCTAGCGCTGCTTTTAATCGGGATAGTCTGACCGTCCATCTCTATACGAAGATCCGGAGTGCGTCGTTTGCGTGTAAAAATGACAGCCGAGCTTTTTGGGGCACTTAAAGATAACCCGTGATTGAGAAGCCATTGGTTTAATGAGGACAAAGAGACATTGATGGAGTGAGCGGCCTCTGTTATAGAATTGCTGGTGACCATTAATGCGATATCGTCAGCGTACTGAAGGACATTACAGTTAAAATTTAAACAGGAGGGGAGGTCATAGGTATATATGTTATAAAGGATAGGACTAAGGACTGACCCCTGAGGTAAACCTTTCCAGGAGGACCTCTGTACTGGGTTATCCTCAGGAGTTCTCAATTGGAGGGTACGATTGGAGAGGATACAGCCTATAATTCGGCAAATCCCACTCGGGATTCTCAGCTCTTGCAGTTTCTGCCTGAGAAGGGGTAAGAGGACAGAATCATAGGCCGCTGAGATGTCCAGGAAGACCGCGACCAGCGACTCCTGCCTGCTAAGGGCCAGTCGGATGGCTGACGTGAGGACACCCACACTGTCAGCCGTACCCAGACCTTTCCTGAAGCCAAACTGAGTCGCCGGAAGCTGCCTCCGGCTTTCAACCAACCATTCAAGGCGGTTTTTAATGAGGTGTTCAAAAGTTTTAATAAGTACGGACGATAGAGCGATAGGTCGGTAGGATTTATGATCACCAGGATCCTTGCCAGCTTTCAACAGCGGCATGATAACCTGAACCTTCCAAGTAGGAGGAATATAGCCTGAAGTAAAGCAAAAATTGACCAAGTCAAGGTAGTATTGTTTTGTTTTAGTTCCAGCCTTAGATAGGAAGGAGTAAGGGAACCCATCAATCCCTGGTGCCGAGTCCTTGACATGGTTGAGTACCGTTTGGAGCTCTTCATAAGAGAACTCCAAATCGAGCGGTTCATGTGTTTCGTCATAGGGTCTCTGGCAGCACTCGTCTGCACTGGGAACATATACTGGAGCAATACTATTTAAAAATCTGTTACTTAGAGATTCGGGTAAAATCGAGATAGTGGGAGGTTTGGTGGAGTTCCTGAAATTTTTCACTCTCTGCCAAACTGTAGATACTGGAGTGGATGGGCTCAGAGAACCACAAAATCTTTGCCACCCTTGTCTCTTCTTTTTTTTGAACAATTTCCTTGACTTAGCCAAAATTCGTTTGAAATTTATGAGGTTTTCCAGGTTCATATCTTGGTTATATGTCTTTTCAGCCTCATTCCTAGCCCTTATCATGGCAGTGCATTCACTATCCCACCATGGCGGAGAAGGGATTTTGCCTTTCGGTGCGTTTTTCACCGGAAAGCAATCTTCAGCAGTGGAGGCTATCAGGTCCGAAAATTTTGAAAAACACTCCAAAGCATTCTCAGGATTAATTGGTGAAAGGAAGGAGATACGGTGGTCTAATAATTTTGAATAAAGATCCCAATCAGCTGCATTCAAACGATATTTTAATAGGGGGGGAAGGGGTTTATCTGGAATAGATTTTGACAGGTGTTTAATTATGATAGGATAGTGATCACTACCATAGGTCAAATTCAAACAACTCCAATTAAGTACGCCAGCCATAGCAGGCGAGCAGAAGGTCAAGTCCACACAGCTGTTTCTTTGACCAAATGCAGACCTACGAGTAGGGCTGCCATCATTGATGACACACAATTCGAGTTCGTCCAGCATCTCTACTAATTCAATACCTACATTATCGCATACATCTGAACCCCATCTATAGTGGTGGCAGTTGAAGTCACCCATTATAAGCAATGGGCCACTTACCAAGGTTAGTAAACTTTTAATTAACATAATGTGATCAACATGAGGGTGAGCAATATAAAATACAAAAACATTTATGTCCTCAGCCTTAACAGCGACAACATTTATGTCATGGGCGTGATGTTATGCTATGTATTTTTTTTTATAATACAATTTGACAATATCGTTTAATGTGTCATTGTTTTTCATTTCTCGGGCGGCGACCAGAACCAGACCCGTGCATCAGCCATCAGACCACCACAGATGTGGGCCAGTAGGGCTGATACCCGATATAAAACCGCGGAAGACTTAACGGGTTGCCGGGGCTCCGGCTCGAAGTGCAGGTGTAGGAACGGGGTGGTTTTTAGTCAGTAAGAGTCTGACACTCCCTCGTCTAACCCAAGGTGGGAGAAGGCATTCGATGATTTACCCACTTCTCAAAAAAAGGTCTCAAATTTTCCCAAAGAACAGTGGTTCAAGCTCGCCCGCTTGTCAGCAATTAGTATAGATAATTATTTTATTTTTAAACCAATCGTTCTGCAGTTATCACATACATTGAAGGACAATGTCGCGATTTATCTGTTTACTAAAAACTCTGTTTTCATTGTATACTGTATAAATAACATCATGGTTTTTATTGAAAATAAGTATAGGCAGAAGGGAATTTATGTATAGGCAGAAGGGAATTTATAGCAGATTAGGTAATAACTTAAGAAAACTAACGAACTATAGTATATATTAACACAAATTAAAATCTTATTCAAGAAATGTTATTACAATTTAAATGACTTCTTTAATGACAATTTTTTTATGGGATAAGCCGGTAAACGAGCAGACGGATCACCTGATGGTAAGCAATCGGCGTCGCCCATGGACACCTGGAACACCAGAGGCGTTACAAGTACGTTACCGGCCTTATGGGATTAGGAATTTGAGGATTGTTGGGATTCAAAGATTGGGGAAGGAGGGGAGGGTAATTGCGTCTCCAATAACCTCACTCACATAACGAAACACAACGCAAGCGTTGTTTCACGTCGGTCTTCTGTGAGGCCGTGGTATTCCTTCGGTCGAGCCGGCCCATTCGTGCCCAAACATGGCTCTCCCATACTTAATAAATTGTAATTAAATAATTTGTAAGACATGTATAAGTTTGAATAGTTTAATTATTATACACATTTAATTATTTATTTAAGCACTATTAAGGACTAACTTCCGCCAGCGGCTTCAACCATGTACCCGCATGATGAAAAGTAGCTCATGTCTATATTAAAATATTTGTGAGACATACTGAATTAATTACTATGTTTTCAGTTTACTCACATAACTGTTTGATGAGGAACTCGACTAGTTTCAAGAGTTTTCAAGTAGTTTCGTGCTAGAGGCTCATATACATGACGCGTCAGTCGCCGCGTCGCGTGTTTTATTTCAGAGCATAATCTAGCCTTGTTCCTAATTTCATTTCGATCCCTCCAACCGTTTTGACGTGATTGATCAACAAACATACAGACAAACTTATGCTTCTATAATATTAGTGAGATAAACATGGCCCCAAAAATTTGCATCACTCTTCAGCCTCTTTGCTCGCTCAGACCATGCTCCCGCTACTGGTTGACACCCTATTTTTATGTTTTTTATAGGTAGTATTTAAAAATGTCACTTTAGAGAATTTTAAATAAATATATGAATAATAATAAAGAAATTGCTTGTACACTAATGGGCACTATTCGTGACCAGAGGGCTGTCAATTTTTTCAGAAAATAAGCATTTCTATTCAATGAGGACCAGTTCTTTGATACCGGATGGCATTTCTTTTGTTAATCTATTTTTTTTTAACTTTTTTAGTTTTAGTTTTAAGTTGTACATATTTATTCACAATTTTTTTTTTGGAAGACAATAGGCATAGTGCTTAGCTAAAATAAATTATATTATTTTAGAGTAATTAGAGTATTTTTAGAGTATTTGTTTAATGAACATTTAAGATTACAATATAACTACTAACAATATAACTATTGTATCATTCACAATCACCTGTGATTACCCTGAAATTCTAATAAATAAGATAATGGATATCATCAAGATAAAACACATTGTGATGAAACACATGATAAATACATGAAACCTGTCTAATTAGTTAATATTTGAATGAAAAAAAACTGGAATACAATATATTCTATTCATTTCATACATCTACAATGCAGAATCAATTTCTTTAAAATAATTCCATAATTATAGTATGAAGGTCCTTCATTGGCCTTATAGGTGCATGACTGTGCAATTTGCTAAAAAAAAAATAGGCGTAGTAGTCTTTTCACTATTGACATGTAAACAAATAGGTAATTTATGCACTGATTTACTCACGTTTTGATATGGAATATCGGCATTAAATCTGCAACTGACGAAACGAAGCACTAAACTTGTCTTTCCTACATGTTCACTCCCTAATAACACGACTTTAAAATCACATCTACTCATTTTTATGTACAAATTCTTTGAAATCGATACACAAAATCACGCGGTGCAATTTTTTTTTATCTCTCACTGTATCTGACGAAGGAATCTTTGGAAAATCCCAAATGTTACGTGATTCCCAAACAATTTTGTTTATTAAAATAACTATTATACAAGTCGTTAGTTAGAACAAACTTAGTTTTATAATTAACGCTCATTAATCATAAATAAATTATTTTTAAACAAAGCGCTCGTTTCGTTTCACAAAGAGCTTTTGTCTGTAAATATTATTTTGACGTTAGTTTGACGGTTGAGTCATGAGACATTGGCGTTAAATAACTCGTTCAGAAATTACAAAACTCGTGAGAATAGGTGTAAATTATTTTTATCATTAAATTTTTTTGTAATGTTAAATAATGATACGATGGAAGGTCCCTTTACCAAGTTGCAGTATTGCATGAGGGCATTTTGATTTATAATAGATAAATAAATAAGTTTTACTGTAACTACGTCTACATACTTCATTTAATAATAATTGTTTTGTCCAGGTATCGTCTAATTGAGTGAAGGACTAGGGAGAACGCCTTTATCCGGGCATGGACGTCTTCCAGATGTTAATGTTGATGATGATGATGATGATGATGATGATGATGATGTTATATACTTCGTTCTTATTATTGAAACTTTGACTGGATATTGGGTAAAGCATAATTACCTTTCTTTTCCTTTTTAACTCTAAACTTCAGAGTTAAATGCCTTGAAGGGTTAGCAAGGCATTTAATTCTGACTCCTCTCCCTGTTCTCTGCTGTTATGAGGATAAACAAACAATGCTATCTTGTAGGCTCACCATCAGATGATCCATAAACTTTACTTTTCGTCTTTGTCCTGGAATAGGTTCCACAAAAAGTTTTCGCATGGATTGGAAAGCCTTGCTGCGCCATTGACACTACGGCGTCGGCACAGCACCACACTGAAGAGGGACACTACAAAAATCGACACACTATTATAATTAGAAGGCTATGTGCTGCCATGTAAGTTAAGTTACTAGAGGCTCAAATCTTTTACGCCCTCCTGCTACCCCCCAACCCTTCTCAAAAGCCCCCAAGGCACTCGTAACTTTGTAACTCGTCTTGTTTTGTCCATGGGTGATTGCTTACCATCAGCCAGGAGATCCGATCACTCATTGGCATTACTAAAAGTGTGATTAGCCTCTATCAACTTTATTAGCCTTTATTACATATACATTATTACATATAACATAGCAATAAGAATATAGAATTAAGACATACGAAATTTCTGTTATATTTTTTTTTGAATAAATTATTTATTTATTTATTACCCTTCGAGATAAAGGCATGTTATATTACAGGTACTTAGTGTGAAATTTCATATAGGTACAGATTTTTAAGAGTGGGAGATCCATGGTTCGGCATGAACGGGCCGGCTTGACCGGAGTGATACCACGGCCTCATAGAAGACCGACGTGAAACAACGTTGTGTTGTGTTTCGTCTTGTGAGTAAGGTTTACCGGAGGCCCAATTACGCAATCCCCAATCCCTGAATCCCCAACAATCCTCAAATTCCTAATCCCAAAAGGCCGGTAACGCACTTGTAACGCCTCTGGTGTCCATGTCCATGGGCGACGCCGATTGCTTACTACCATCAGGTGATCCGTCTGTTCGTTTACCGGCTTATGCTATAAAAAAAAGACTAAATTAAACGCGTAGGTATACTAATTTATTTTTATTTATTAACAAACGCCTACTTGTTAACTATCACTACATCTCATTCATTCTGCCAAGTAGGTGTAATACTCATCAGGACGTAACATAGAGTAGTGGGATATTTTTTTTTTACCGGGGGAATATCATCGAATGACTGCTCCCGCCTGGGTGAGGCGGGAGGGAGTGTCAGACTCTTACTGACTAAAAACCATCCCGTTTCTTCTCCTGCACGTCGAGCCGGAGCCCCGGTTACCCGTTAGGTTCTCCGCGACAGTGTAGTGGGATATACGCCTCACTAGTAAAACTGCCTCATTGGCCGACCAGGCCGAGTGGAGAGTGCGACTGCCGGGCAAGGGGTCTCGGGTTCGATACCCGGGTCAGGCAAAGTATTACTGGGTTTTTATATATCTCAGTAGTAGCACGGAGCCTGGAAATGCGCCCGATATATGCGGCTCACCCCCTATTACATGGGACTCATAACATACTTAAATAGTGAAAAGTGTATGTTACATTGTATGTACAATGTCATTAAGTGCCGTAATGTTCACCTCTGCCTACCTCTTCAGGGATAAAAAAGGCGTGATGTTATGTTATGGGACATTTTGCTTCGTTCGTTCGATTGTCTTATTTTTGAAGATACCCAATAATAAAATATAGTAACTACTCACTGGTCAGCCATATTATTTTGATGTTGTAAGATGTAAACAAACAAATTCAAAAATAAATATTTTTTTGCGTTTTATCTATGCGCAAGTTTGTTGAACTTTTGACATTTCCAATGAACTTTGTCTTCTGTCTCGCTCTGTCTGCGTTTTTAATACGTCACATGAAATGCATTTTAATGTTGCCATAATAGAATTAAAAATTCCCTTTTTCATGGTAATGTTTGTGGTATATATGCGTTATTGCGGGGAACAGGGGTACTTACCTATTGTTGTCATGTGGTATTTTTATCTAAGTATTGTAAATGTATATACTTTATAGGATTCTTTTGAAATTACGCTGTTTGAGCATAAGATTCTTAAACAATTTAATTAATAATTTAATACAAATAACATGTTATCATAACTTTGACCTTCATTAAAGATTTTATTTTATTCAAAAATAAGTTATTAAATATTATTATTTTATAATTAAATCAATAATAAACGCTCCATAATGCTGCTATAAGTCTATTATATTTATTAATATTTTCTTTATTTTTAACTTAACCTAACATTTTAAACAAAAATCAATTTTACGTTTGTATTACAAAAAAGCAACATTCCAATTCCTCCAATGCACAAATTATGACTAATATGTGGTTAGCAACTTATCTAAATGAATGATCAATTAATTAACTACCTTTTAAAGACATAATAATTGATTTTCAAATACCGTACCGTACCAAAAAAACAATGTCTGTCTTGTTATTCTATAAACTTAACTCTTTATCTTATATATATCTTCCCTTCGAATCTAGTTTTTAATACATACAAATAACTTCTCAGTAATTTTATTTATTAATTAGCTCATTTATGCATATTATAACAATACATAATGGTTTGCAAAAAACGTAATTATCTAAAATGAGACATAACCTAAGTGTTATCTATTAAAAACCTTAAAAATATATATTCAAAACCTTCTATGAGGACTTTATAGTGTTGCTTCTTCGGTATTATCAACATCTGCAAGTAAAAAGGTGAGTGATACTGTGTTATATTGTTTTCTACACCAATCTAAATCACTATTAGGTACGGCCTTTCCATCTCTTATATTGGTAAAATGACGCATAATATCTACGTCGAAGCGTTCGCGTCGAAACTTCTCTCTCCTTATCAGATAAACAAGTTCAATAATGCATTATTATTACTCATATACATTGTAATATTTGTATTCTTTAATGTAGAACACCATTTGTCCCTTTCTAACAAACCCCGCCCGTTCGTTGTTCGGAAAACTATCGGCGTATTGATTTTTAGTCGGACTATGTCATGCAAACAAATCGATAAATTGTCTCTACTCGCTAATCTTTATTTGATAACAAACCGAAAAGTAAGACAGCCACATTCGAGCATACTAAAATGCGTTGATATAATTCGCTTTTAGGTAATAATTTGTAGTAGAAATAGAGTTAAAAGGCCGCTAAATTATTCCTTTTTGCGTGTCTATGCGAGGTTGTTGCTAGGCAAATTTCTGTGAAGGTTTTTAACTTGTGAGAATTTCGAAAAAGTTAACATTAACAGAAAACAATCTTTCATTTTTCGCTTAAAATATGAATAAATGGGTCAAAATGATTACTCATCGCCTTGTCCTCTCGAATACCACCTCATTGCGAAATATTAGCACGTGATTAATTTAAATACAAATTAAAAACAAAATATTTAAAAAACAACTTTCCTCGACTTTGGAAAACACGAAAAATCACGTCTAAATTTGCGACGAAATATACGTATGATAGTTTTAAAAAATCTATAAAAGACGTGGAATTAGAAAAAATGAGAAAATAAACGATTATAATACGTCAGTAGTATTCTGGTTGAGAGGCGAACGTAGCAAGGTGAAGCTGAACCGCGCACAAAGAACCTGCGATAACGCGTTATACGATAAACACGTCAAGTAGTTTATTACAATGCCAACTCGACGCTCGACCTACCTATAACTATCTCTATTCCGTACTGTCTCACCTCCTGCCCCACACCCTAAAATGTTGCTCACTAAACAACAAAAAGCAACAAAACTTTTGTGCAAGACTTTTAACCAAAATATTCTTACATTAAAAAAGGATTTTAGCGCATCATTTTGATATATTTGTTATTTTTTTTAAGGTTCTTGTTTAGATTTTAGCCTGATTTTCTATTAAACGGACAAATTGAAAAGATTATGAAGTCACTGTTTTCGAGAACGATTTCGTAAGTTTCGTTCCGAAGTTTACGCTTGTGTTACATGTTTATGAATGGAATATTTTAGGTTTACACCAAGAAATGACAGAAACATCTTACAAAAATAACAAATAACAATTTCATCAAACAAAATAAAGGGTCCCGTTTAAGTAAGTAATGTATAAAACAAGAAAGACATTTTTATGGATCTGGAGATCATTATTGTGAAATTTTCTAATCAAGAATCGGACCAAGCTATCGACGTCAACGTGCTAACGGGACTTTGTCGTATAACACAGAGTGTTGCCATAACAAAAATAGATTTGCTATCTCAACTCCCCCATGTAGGCAGTAGCGTTACCATTCGTGATGAAATGGACGTCTGAAGAAATTTGGTATCGCAGTGAATTTTGTTTATATCTCCGATAATCTACGTTAAAAACTTTTGTAATCACTTTTAAAAGCGTCCTTTTGCAACAAAGATGTAGTATCATTAAAAGTTAAGAGTGGAAAACGTTAGTTTAATGTATAATACGCGTTTGACTCAATGACTGAATTCAGGCAAAAGAAAATTGATTGTGCTGGGCGAACTTAAGTTAGAATATCGAGTTTTTTGTTGTTATATTAAGTTTATATTGTGTGGTAATATAATTAATATTGTTTTATTCTACGTTATAAGTGTAAAATAGTGGTTTATTTAAGTGTTCGTTGTTTATAAATGGGATTTCATGATATAGGTAAGTTTTCTAAAACTAATTTCTTTGTAGGCTGTAGATAAGCGTTTAATTACCTTTTTCATGGTGTCTATAGATGGAAATGCGCGGAAATATCTCTGATACATGTTTAAAAACTGCAATTAATACATTAATTCCGATGTATGACCGAATTAAAATTACAACTTCAAAACTGTTTGTAAAGTAATAAACATGTCAAAATTCACTTTGAAACTTTTACAAAAGTCTATAGAAACTTCAGGGGTGGGTTTTAAAATAAATTCATGACTGTTTGTAAATGTGTATGGTGCTAAAAAACTCAGAAACGACTGCACTGATTTTGATAAACCGGTTTTGTTTGGGCAAGTGTAAGGAACATAACAGGTCATGTTTGAATCTACCTGTGGTTGTTTACTATATGTTTTTATCATCAATATCATAGCTGAAGCACTTTGCATGTAATATCAATCCTTTTTATCCCCAAAGGGGTAGACAGAGGTCTGCATATACAATGTAACCCCCACTTTTCACTATTTATGTTATGAGCCCCATATTCCTACGTACCTCATTCGCTTCATCAACAGTCATCAGTATTTCCATGCATGCTCATCAGTCATTACTGATCAAAGGCTTTCTTTTCATACAGAGAATGTTTCAGCATTAATCACCACACTTGCTCAATGCGGGTTGGCGATTTCAAATTTATAATTAGAAATTATAAGCCCAGGTTTCCTCACAATGTTTCGATGTGTGTGTCAGTGGTGTCTATATAATCTTTCAAAGTACATATAACTTGGAAAAGTCACATTGGTACTTGCTGTTGGTACGTTTCAAACACACATTCTCATGCATGAGAAGCGGGTGTCATAAACGTCTGGGCCATCACAGCTATCTTATATATTCTATCTATGCGTAAATGCATAGTTTATTGTTTAACAGGATGAGTAGAGAGAAGAGAGTTTGGGTTTGGCTTTGATTTGCATCAGGAACCTGGATACAATGGCTATCAGATGTTTATTCTCTAATCTGGTAAAATATATAAATACTGCGTGTAATGATTGACTCATTGGCCGAGTGGTCGCTGTGTGTTTGCGACTGCTGGGCAAGGGGTCTCTGGTTTGATTCCTGGGCCAGGCAATTTATTGCGTTTTAAAAAAAATCTCAGTAGTAGCATGGAGTCTGAAAATGTGCCAGGTATAGGCAATTGGCTCACCCCCAATTACATGAGACTCGTAAGATAAATAGTTAAAAGTGGGTGTTACATTGTACAGTGGCATAATGTGCACCTCTGCCTAACCCTTTGGAGATAAAAGGTGTGATGTTATGTATGTATGTAATAGAGAAATTTGTTAGAAAAGAATAGATTAACCTGCTGGCTCCCATACCAATTTGTAAACACACCAATGACGCAGTTGTAAATTCTAGTGTAGGGCAAAATTTTTATAAAGAAAAATATACCCAGTTTATATATCTCTACTGCATGATCTTTAATTTAAAGAGAAATTTATAAACACAAACTCACACGACCAGAAAAAAATACAACTTTGACTGACATTGACATGAAATAGTTTGTCAATCAGTCCATCAATAACTAAACGATGAAGACTGATCGACAAATAACAATATAAATAATAGAAAGTTATAAAAGGCAGCAGCTCTCTGATACACCTGAACCTTTTATACTGCGATCTCCAACCCGCCTGCCTGCGGAGATTATGACAAACCCTCTTTAAGCAGAGATGTGGGAGAGCCATGCTTCGGCACGAATGGGTCGGCTCGACCGGAGTGATACCACGGCCTCACAGAAAACCGATGTGAAGCAACGCTTGCGTTGTGGTTCGTCGTGTGAGTGAGGTTACCGGAGGCCCGATTACCTTCCCCTCCTCCAATCTCCCCAATTCCAGTATCCCCAACGATCCTCAAACTCCTAGTCCCCAAAAGGCCGGTAACGCACTTGTAACGCCTCTGGTGTTCCAGGTGTCCATTGGCGACGCCAATTGCTTACCATCAGGTGATCCGTCTGCTCGTTTACCGGCCTATGCCATAAAACAAAAAGTAGATCAGACTCATAGTGCAGTGGATTGTCGCTGACTGTTGATGATGTAACTGGTTGTTTTTTGAGGTAGCAGAATCATCCATTTATTTATTTAAGTATTTAAACGTCATTCGCAAAGTGTACATAATATAATAAAAGTAATAACGAAAGAAAAAAAAAGCCTCAGATTTCCTAATTCGAAAAAAAAATACATTTTATTATATACTAGCGATCCGCCCCCGTCTTCGCACGAGTGCAATATGCATGTATTATACATATAAACCTTCCTTAAGAATCACTCTATCTATTAAAATAAACCGCATCAAAATCCGTTGCGTAGTTTTAAAGATCTAAGCATACATAGGGTCAGTCAGACGGTGGATAGCGACTTTGTTTTATACTGTTAGTGATGATGAATGATGATAGTGATTAAAAGTTTAGTTTGATACCTCTGAGGTGAAAGCCTCCTCCAGACAGTGCTATCTTATTTTGCTGTATCTCCAGATACACGCAGAATATCGTCATAGGTAGTTAAGTCAAGGTGAACTTAATGCCGCAGGCATTTTCTCCCAGTCTGACTTTTGGGTGATGCAGAGAAGAGTAAATGGTAGGACCAAGAAACAAGCAACAATTTAATAGAGGAAAGAGAAGATATACTTGCATATTTCAGAGACAAACATTAATTATCCAATGACTTATCCCGCCTTGAGTGAATAGAGAGGGAGTGTCAGACCCTTACTGAATGAAAACAACAAACTAAAAAGAATCTAAAACAAGAGCAACAGGGACAGGACAGGGCCTTGCGCTGGTAATCTCCTGGCCCTTAATCAAAAATAAACTATTTCGACTGTTCAATATAATAAAATATTACAAAATAATCACACTTTCATTAATCGATTTTATAACCAATTTAATTTTAGTATTTTTCCAGCAAATTTTTAACAAACAACTATGCTGTTTGACGCTAAAAAACGTGACGTCACAATACACAATCTCGTACAAAATTCATAGAGAATTGTCGTTTTTGACAGTTCGAAAAAAGTATTGAATTTGACTAGTTGGCGAGTACCCTATTATTATAGTGTATTATGTTGAAAACCCACGGGCATATCCAAACAAAAAAAATAACGTCCATATTACCCTCATACGTTTACACCCTTATCTTATTTCGCCGGAAATCGATACTGACCCGGAAATCGAACCCATACTCACCCTAAACTCCGTTACCCTACGAAGATTAGGGATAAAAAACAACAATAACGGGAACGTGTCTTAATTATCTCTAATAGGGCCCAATTAACAATATAATATTTCTTTTAGTAGTATTTAGTAATATT